AGGGACACTGGCCCTGTTTTCGAGCTTATTTGAAGCTGGGTAATGCCCCCAGTATTTTCATCTGGGTGGAATTGTGACATCTCCGGCCTTCCCCCCCCTCCCCCCCAAAAGGGGCATTGTATGCAGTTGAGGACAGCATCACACAAGAAGGACAGCACACCTGCTTATGAAATAACTGTTTTATGTTTTCCCTTTCGGGAAGGGGGACAGGAGGAAGTCACACTCGTGGATTTTCCATATACACGCATTTTCAGCAGGATTGATAGATGGGGAGGAAAACACCAGACAAAAAAAACATTTGAAGGAAAATGTGTTCTCCTGGGGCCCACGCGCATGACCTGGGTCCCTATCTGCAAATGATTGGGTATCTTGGTCGGGCCGCAATACAAATAAATGAACAACACCTGAATCATATTGGTACTCTTCAGAAAGAACTGACCATCTGGCCCCTGAATATTATCGATCCATAAACCATCACTGCCCAGTGGCCATCGGGGGGGTTGCACCAGTGGACAATGGTCCGTTTCCCCTATCGGGGCAAAATAAACCTTCGCCCCCATGACGGTTTAGTCGTCCAGGGCTAGGTGGAAAATTAAATTGAACAATCTTTCTTCGGGCGGAGGGACAGTATTGAGATGAACTAGCGAGAGGGATGCAACGGAATGAAAAAGGAGTTCGAAGGGTGCAATTTCCGACTTTGATACATGTGAATCAAAGTCCCAGTGTGATGCTTTAAGAATGTACCTGGGTCCCTATCTGCAAATGATTGGGTATCTTGGTCGGGACGCAATACAAATAAATGAACAACACCTAAATCATATTTGTACTCTTCAGAAAGAACTGACCATCTGGCCACTGAATATTATCGATCCATAAACCATCACTGCCCAGTGGCGATTGGGGGGGTTGCACCAGTGGACAATGGGGTTGCTGGTCCGTTTCCCCTATTGTGGCGAAACAGGCCTTCGACCCTGTGATGGTTTATTTGTCCAGAAATTGAGCAATCTTTCTTCGGGCGGAGGGGCAGTATCGAGATGAAAACAAGCAGTAGGGATGCAAGGAAATGAAAAAGGAGTTCAAAGGGTGCAATTTTGGAATTTGATACATAAGATACCCAATCATTTGCAGATAGGAACTGATATGGCCATAGTCCCAACAAACACTGTGCCGAGACCATGTATCTAAGGGACACTGGACCCGATTTCCAGCAGGTGACGCTCTCCACCAATAGATGGAGCAGCCCGATAGGCAAAGCCTCAATTCCGGTGGTTCTCTTACCCCCACCAGGATAGAGGCCTTGCACAACGGCTTTTCTTTATTACAAAAAAAAAGAAAGAAAGAGAGAGAATGTACCTGGGGCCAGGTCCCAGTAGCAAAGAGGATTGCATTGAATGCCTGAATCTAGACATGTTCACGGAAGTGCAGAAAATAGAGATTGAACTGCTTTTCTGCATCTATGCATAAAACACGTCCAGATTCAAGAGATGAATCCCACCCTCTTTGCTAATGGTATCTTGCCCCTGGATGGGACAGCTGTCAGTCTGTATCTGGATGACAAAGTGCCCAGATGAATTGCCATTGAAGCAATCCTAGAATTCATTTTATTAAAAAAAAAAAAAAAAAAAAAATCAGATTTGGAAAGTGGCAGCAGCATATTTCCGAAAAGAAAGCTGCGGAGAGAGGCCGGCACCCTTGGAAGGAAATGGACTTCAGAAGATTGTCATGGATCGGAACAAGTACTTGGCCCAGCTATCGATGACGAGCCTGAAAACGGGCTGCGCGCCGTTTCGCGCTAACCCGCCAGCGCAACAAGAAAAAATTGTTCTGGCTGGCGGCGCCAGCCTTTGAGGGCCGGTATCCTGAGCCTCCGGAAGTTGCGGCGTTAACGACAATGCCCTGCGGCCGATGTAAAGGCCAAGTACTGGTGGTTTAATTGCAGAAATGATGCCATCAAATGCACCTCGATGACATACACGAAAAGAAGGGAAAACACCCTGAACAGCCTGGGGCTAAGTCCCATCTACGCCATTGAGGGCATACTCACACACATGTAGCAAAACAACAAAGTTCGCGAAGTTTGCGACGCCCGGGTTGCCATTTCGCTGCGTTACGCAGTCAAACATGGGCACCAAATTGGAAAAGACAATGCCCCGACCGCCTGCCATTTGAGAAATCGCTCACTTGTGCGGTCACACAGCAGAAGTAGCCGAGGGATGCTCGTAATGCTCTTCTGTGAGCTCACAGATTCGGGGGGCAGGGGGGTGTGGGGGGAATTGCCAACACCTCTAGGGGTGGTGGCAAACTGCTCAACCCCATGGCCCTTCAGGCCGCTGATATTTGCCACACCAGTTGCAAATTTGATGCGAGGGCGGGGAAAGCGTGACTGCAAAGCTATGGCACATTTTGCTGTTTTCAGTGTTTCGCCAAAAAAGCTCCTAGTGTGAGTAGGCCCTGGGGTGAAGTCCCGCCTTCCAAGTTTAAGTTTAGAAAATGCAACGGTGTGACACCATTTGGACATTAATAAATTCGAAACAAAAAATTAGAAAACTGAAAAGAAAACGTTAGAAACAGCTTTTCTCCTTAATTTTGATTACGTAACTTGGAGAAATGAAACACGTCTGGCACAGTCGGAGTGAATGTCTCCGTGGCAAAGGATACTTCCCGTGGTGATTGATGCCAGAGAGTCAAACACAGCTGTCAGAGTTCCTCAGTTTCAGGGTGTAATGATGTCTAAAAAAAAAAAAAAAAAAAGGCACATAAATTGAGAAATCAACACTGGGGCGGGTAGGG